GGTAGAAGGAAGGAGGAATGGGAAGAGAGCATAACAGTATTCTGGAATAAGAGAGAAGGAGGAGAATAACTGTGATGGAGAAGACATCACTAGAGATGGAAGTATGTGATGAAATGTAAGAGGTGAGGTGAAGGAAGAAGAACTGAAGGAGGAAGAGGTAGAGGAGGAAGAGAATAAGGATGACCTTAATATATCCTGAAGGTTGTGGTTATTATTTATTAAAGGACAGTTATTGTGCCTGGCAACACTGGTGTCAACACTGGTGGCAACACTGGTGGCAACACTGGTGGCAACACTGGTGGCAACTCTGGTGGCAACACTGGTGGCAACACTGCTGGCAATACTGCTGGCAACACTGGTGGCAACATTGGTGGCAACACTGGTGGCAACACTGGTGGCAACTCTGGTGGCAACACTGGTGGCAACACTGCTGGCAACACTGGTGGCAACACTGGTGGCAACACTGGTGGCAACACTGGTGGCAACACTGGTGGCAACTCTGGTGGCAACACTGGTTGCAACACTGCTGGCAACACTGCTGGCAACACTGCTGGCAACACTGGTGGCAACACTGGTGGCAACACTGGTGGCAACTCTGGTGGCAACACTGGTTGCAACACTGCTGGCAACACTGCTGGCAACACTGCTGGCAACACTGCTGGCAACACTGCTGGCAACACTGCTGGCAACACTGGTGGCAACACTGGTGGCAACACTGGTGGCAACTCTGGTGGCAACACTGGTTGCAACACTGCTGGCAACACTGCTGGCAACACTGCTGGCAACACTGCTGGCAACACTGCTGGCAACACTGCTGGCAACACTGCTGGCAACACTGCTGGCAACACTGGTGCACACGGTGGCAACTCTGTGGCAAAACTGGTGCAACCTGTGGCAACACTGCGGCAACATGCGCAACATGTGGCAACACTGTGGCAACACTGCTGGCAACACTGCTGGGACACTGTGGAAATGCTGGCAAAACTTTTTCTAGGGTCCGGTTTACAGCCACAAACATGTGCGTGTATGTGTGTGTGTGTGTGCGTGTGTGTGTGTATGTGTGTGTGTGTGTGTGTGTGTGTGTGGTGTGTGTGTGTTGTGTGTGGTGTGTGCGTGTGTGTGTGTTTGTGTGTATGTGTGCGTGTGTGTGTGTGTGTGTGTGTGTGTGTGTGTGTGTGTGTGTGTGTGTGTGTGTGTGTGTGTGTGTGTGTGTGTGTGTGTGTGTGTGTGTGTGTGGAAAACGTTCTATAACTGGAAGTATACAACAACACTGTGCTTCTTGAAATAAGTTGAAAAAGTTCGAAACGTTCAGCACGTTCAAGACGTTCTCTTCCTTCTCCAGAGATGTTTTTCTCAACCCTCGTGTATAATATTTATTGTGTATCAAACGACGTCATACACGACGCTTGAGTATACACTGTGATGCCTTAACATACACTCTTAAACACGCACGCACACATACACAGTGGAGGCAGGAAGCATACATAGCTTTAAGACGAGGTATGACAAAGCTCAGGGAGCAGAGAGAGAGAGAGAGAGAGAGAGGACCTAGTAGCGATCAGTTAAGAGGCGGAGCCAGGAGCTGAGTCTCGACCCCTGCAACAACAATTAGGTGAGTAGGATTAGGTGAGTACACACATGCACACTCACCAGAACATATGCACATTTATATATATATATATATATATATATATATATATATATATATATATATATATATATATATATATATATATATATATATATATATATATATATATATATATATATATATATATAATATATATATACCCCTTATATAGCTTCCTTGGATGCTTCACTTTCATAGTTCCTTGATAATGTGAGTAGTCACGAAAGCGCTTGGAATTTCTCTATTCTTTCAGAGTGGTTGTTTTGCATATATATATATATATATATATATATATATATATATATATATATATATATATATATATATATATATATATATATATATATATATATATATATATATATATATATATAATATTTACAGTGGTTAGGGAGCAGTTGAACAAAAAAGATGAATAGAGCTTGAAGCGGGTGAGTGTGAAAGCTCTCTCTTACATCTTCAGTTACACTACTCTCATACAGAAAGATTAATCTGTCGTGGTGTTAGCCAGCCCCAGGCAGGAGAGGGAGGAGCAAGGAAATCTCACCCAGGCTTATCACCCTCACTCTGACACACCAGACAGCTCCAGCACTTAGGTAAGCACCCACATTCAACAAGGTTGTCAGTGCTAGAGGACGTACCCTCATCAAAGAGCTGAATGAGCTGTGGCTGCCAGAAACATCTATTAATGACATTTGCCACATGTCACAGCTATTTTATGATATGCCAGGAAACAAATAATCTTTCGATGACAGTCTTTCGTTACTAGTAGCATCCTGGTCACTGTGGTCTGCAATGCTGAGAAGCAATAGACCTATGCTGTGTACACTGTGTACAGTGACATAAACACAAGCCAGTACCTACGTGAACAGAGAAATCAAGGTTAGTGAACTGCGAGACTTCTATCAGTTTCAGTGACTAAACACTTATTAATACATGTTAATCAGAAGTATGATGTGACCCAGCTGATTCCTTGAGAGGGTCTGGCTAGCTACAGTGTTCCATAAACGAGGTAAATAATTAAAGTATCCAACCTTCCTTCTGAGAGGTCAGTATGCCCCAGCGCCTTTTAGTCAACCTACGAATCAAAGGTCGTCGACTTCCCATTAAATGACTGGCAGAGATAGCTTGCAGGCTCTGAGATAGACTGGTTGCCTAACCGCAGTCAACTACCTGATCAAACAAGACAAGCAATTCTTAGAGCGATAAAGAAGAGGAAATATGGAGGATATAATCTGTTTCTCCCTCCCGATGGTCATGCTTCAATTATAACTTTGGAGCGAAGATGACTTTGAAGTTACCTGGAAATTAGAGAGTTGAGCTTGATGGCGTCTGATTACTAGCTAACTGCCATCAATACATGCAGTGATGTGGAAAGATGTTGGCATGGGAGGAAAAGTGGGAGACGTAAGGCTGATGTTGCAAGTGTTATTGAGTAGGGATGTTATATTCACCACCTTTTTCCCGAGGTCTTTACCCCTCCCCTTCCTTCCCCTTCCCATGCGAAAATGAAAAAAGCTCATGGTTTCCCCCACCTCCTTGACAGCTGTGAGGACAATATTGACAATAATATTGCCACCAGCGGAGCTGCTTTACCCGATATTCTCCTCTGGTGTTCATATCAGTATTCTTATTCTCTTTCTTCTTTTTCTTCTATCTTTATCTCCTTCTTAGCAGGTCTTAAGGAGCACGTCAGCTCCCCTGTTTTCTAGTAATATGCTATTTTTTCCCTGTAATCTACCTTGTCCATAATTACTATTGCATTTGCTTTGTCTGCTTTCGTAAGGTGAAGTCCAGGATCTTTCCTTAATTCATGGTATAACTTAACAAATATTTGAGGACAATTGTGTTGTAGAGGTCTCAGCTTTGCTCAGACCTCTACAACACAATTGTTGAGGTCTGATTAGAGGAAAAAATAAACATGATATTAGGAGACAGGGAAACTCAGGCGCCTTTTAACTACCATAATTATCAGTGTAACATGTTGTCCCTCGCTGTATTAAGTATGGTTGTCATCCACGACAGGTAACTTGGTGGTGCTGGTGGTGATGTGGGTGCACCCGCGTATGCGCTCCACCACTAACTTCTTCCTGACCAACCTGGCTATTGCTGATTTCTGCGTCACCGTCTTCTGTGTCTACCAGAACCTGTCGCAGTACCTGGCACAGACGTGAGTGTTTGTTTCTCTCGATGCCTGGCTCCCCCGTCTACTACCCACCATATACACACTTACACACACACACACACACATACACACACACACGCACATACACACACACACACACACACACACACACACACACACACACACACACACACACACACACACACACACACACACACACACACACACACACACACACACACACAGAGTAGTCTGAAGGACCAGAGATTATGCTAATCTCCTGGGTTTATTACCTGGACCTCAGCAATGAGAGTGGCTACTCTCACCGCTGGGCAACAGCGACCTGTGCAGGGATTAATCCTCTATAGTAGATGTTTGGGGGACAGACAGCCTCCTGCTATCCTAGCCTCCCTCTATATGTTATCTAGACTAAATTTTCATTCCCAGTGATACACGGCGAGGCTTCATGGTATCTCTCATGTCATTACAGTGTCACCCATAAAATCCCATGCTTCTTCTATTAATTTAAGAACAAGGGATATTCTTATCACCAGTGTTGAGGACTGATGTGCTCTTTACGGACATTCAGTAATATTTTAGTTAAAAGGTGGGTGATTCAGTGCTTGGTTCATTATTTCACTGTTGTGTTAAGCTGGTAAACATATGATCAGAATGTCTGAAACTGATCAATTTTCAGTTATTCTTTTACTTAATTAGTGAATCTTGATTTTAAAAGATGAGTGCATTTTTTTTACACGGGGTTTGACAAGGTTAGGTTAGGGATCCCTAGCTTTATTGACAAGCTGTTTACAGGTTAAGGATTCCTAACTATTGACAAGCTAAGAGCTGTTACCTACATCAGCTCATTTGAAAGCATTTTTATTGTTATGAAACATACAAGTAGGGAATAGGATGAAGTTGGAGCCATCTGTGGGCCAGCATTTTCATTTCATCAACTGACTTTATCTCGTTGACATGATAATGCTGTACAAATGTACACTGGCACTTCCTTCTTTCCTTCTCCCTCCGTCTCGTATTTTCCCTTCCTTTTCATCTTTCTCCCAAATTTAACTTCGTGTTATATATCGCTGTACAGATCTGAGGTCATCCCCGATCAGACTTGATTATTCTCTCTCTCTCTCTCTCTCTCTCTCTCTCTCTCTCACTCACTGCCGGTTGAACCACCCAGGTTTCACTTACTATAAAAAACTACTACTATAAGAAACTCTACGGACTGAACCACCAAGGTTTCACTTACTTTACTACTATAAGAAACTCTACGGACTAAACCTCCCAGGTTTCATTTACTGTCCCCAGGGGCTGTCGAAGTCTTCTTTACCACTTCCCTCTTTCATGAGACTAATACCACGTATTCTTCTGTCATGTACAGGTGGGTGTTCGGAGACTTCCTGTGCAAGATGTACAACTTTATCAACTACTTGAGCTACACAGCCTCCGTCATGATACTGGTGGTCAACTGTATCGAGAGATACATGGCCATTATGTGTCCCTTCAGAGCCAAGACTATCCTTAGTCACCGCAATCTTGTGGTAGGTCACCCTTCAGTAGCAGGTCAGAGGTCACCCTTCAGTAGCAGATCAGAAATCACTCTACAAGAGGCCAGACGTCTTGATAGACAGTGAGAGGTCACGTTCTGTCATTCAATTTGGGATAAATAAATATGTAAGACTTCACACGCACACACACACACACACACACACACACACATGTATACATCAGCCTCCATTGTTAGTATACATAATTTAGCAGAGAAGATTATTTAATGAATTAAAATAATGTTAATTAGTAAAAAGGGCCTAGAAAAAATGTTGTCTTTGTTGTATATTGATCCTGAGAGAAAGAGAGAGAGAGAGAGAGAGAGAGAGAGAGAGAGACTTGCTCACACAAGGTAGTCCTCTTGTCAGCTTTCTCCCAACACTAGACAGTAGCGAGGCTTAACTTCTGCAACTTTGATCCCCTTCTGTGTGTTTGTTTGTATGTGTGTGCATGTGTCTGTGAGTGTGTTTTGTGTGTGGTTCTGTCTTGAAGATGTCATTATGATGTGTTACAGGTGCTGGTGCTGTGTTACAGGTGTTGGTGCTATATTACAGGTATCGCTGGTGGTGGTGTGGGTCGGCAGCGGTGTCTACTGCTGCCCGCGCCTCCTGTACTTCCGGGCGGCGTCGCATGAGCTTCCGGGGGCTCGCTACACGGAAGTCATCTGTCTGGCAGACCGCGAGCTCTACGACTCTCGCACTTTCGACACCATCAACTTCGTGCTGCTCTACGTGATGCCGCTGACCGTCATGTCGCTGCTATACTGGCGCATCGGCAGGTACCTCTGGATTAACGGCAGACAGGTGGAAGAGGCGCGCGGAAACTTAAGGAGTTCCCCCTTAAACGGCGTCTTGAGGAGTACCCCCTCAAACGGCGTCGTCTCGCCCCAGAAAGCTCCCTGCTGCATCTCAGCCCTCAAGGATGACCTGGCCAAGGAGCAACAGAACTACAAGTGCCAGGAGGAGGGTAGGAGAGGAGGGTGTGGGCAGCAGAGTGGTGGAACATCAAGCAGTTCCCAAGGCTGCTATTCAGCCATAGGCCGTCGGAGGCGATGGCGACAGACAGCTGACATGCCTATAGGTCCCTACCACACGGAGCGTTTGCTGCGCACCTGGCGGAAGGTGGTGAAGCTGCTGGTGGCTGTGGTGCTGTGCTTCGCTGTGTGTAATTTGCCCTTCCACCTGCGTAAGATGCTCACCTACTACCACCCCGCCTACGACGCTACCACCGACGCTGCTCTCATCTTCACGCCCATCTCCAACCTTCTCATGTACCTCAACTCCGCCCTCAACCCCATTGTCTACTCCTTCATGTCGCACAACTTCCGCGCATGCGTCAGGGACGTGCTCACTCGCTACGCCCGCCGCGGGCGGCGCAGACACCCGTCTGGACCGCTGTCTGCGCCGCCTCACGCCCCCACGCCCATCTCTCGCCACCTTCACATCAACCCACAGCAACCTATCAACCACACGCCGGTAAATCCATCATACCACGTTATCTACACTCCCCCACATCCTGCCCACACTCCTTCCAACTCACCCCACATCCCCCAGTAACTACTCTAAAACCCTCATTTGTCCTTATACCCATCCTTAACATATCCCACGCCTATCAAAAATCTATCCTATACCCATTTATACCTATCTAACACCCAACTTCATTCCTAGCATCACCTGTCGGGGGAGGGGCAGAGTCATTCTAAACTAGAAGTGGTGATGGGGGAGGGGTCGAGCGAAGTGGTCTTTGAAGCGTTGGGGTCGAGTGACTAGTGGTCGAACATAGGAGAAGACGAACTGCTAGAGTCGAGTGACGAGGGTGGAGAGTACACGAGGATCAACAATGATCCAGTGATCCATGCCAGGATCGCTCGCACCGTTTCCCTTGTCATGTTGTGGCTTTACAAGAGGAAGGTCAGTCCTACTGCCCCCAGCAACGCTGTCTACGAGGGTCGGCGGGAGGGGAGGAAAAAAGGATAGATTTTGAGCAGGATTCCTGATCATTATTTTTGAGCTTATACGACTATTATTGTGACATATTTATGATAAATACCGAGAGTTTTTCACTCTCTGGTATTGAAGATCTTTAGATTTGATAAACTTCAAATCATTGAACTATAGAACTGAAAGACAGTTTCAGTACTCTAAGAGTTGATGTCAGGTAATCATATCCCATTGTTTCCATATTCCAGTGGTCGCTGTAAACATAACTATCCCGTAACTATTGTCACTATCACAACAAAAACTACAAAGTCATTCGTACATGAGAACAATACATAATACAGTCAGGTACGAAGAGTCAGTCATACACTTTTAATTATGAAGATTACTTGTGGGAACTAAGATTGTTGTAGTTATTCAACTGTACGTATCATATCAGCTGATCGTGTTAACCTCATCAATTGATCTTGTTTACATCAGCTGTTCGTGTTTACATCATCAGCTGATCGTATTTACCTCATCAGTTGATATTTATTCTATAGCTAGCGAGCACATTACATAAATTAATGTTTCTTAACGATACTATCATGACTTTTTTTTTAAAAAAAAGTTACTAATTAAAAAAAATTTGGGCATTTTAATAATACTCTCCATAGATTTTAGAAAAGATTGATCATCTTCAGATATTTCAAATATTCTGCACCTTACATTATAAGTGTTGAGTACTTTCTGGGGCACAGAACTGAGCCTTATCGTTCAGAAGTGAACTTTATCGTTCAGAAGTGAACGTGATCGTTCAGAAGTGAACTTTATCGTTCAGAAGTGAACTTTATTGTTCAGAAGTGAACTTTATCGTTCAGAAGAAAACTTTATTGTTCAGAAGTGAACTTTATCGTTCAGAAGTGAACTTTATTGTTCAGAAGAGAACTTTATCGTTCAGAAGTGAACTTTATTGTTCAGAAGTGAACTTTATCGTTCAGAAGTGAACTTTATTGTTCAGAAGTGAACTTTATCGTTCAGAAGTGAACTTTATCGTTCAGAAGTGAACGTGATCGTTCAGAAGTGAGCTTTATCGTTCAGAAATGAACTTTATCGTTCAGAAGTGAACTTTATCGTTCAGAAGTGAACTTTATTGTTCAGAAGTGAACTTTATCGTTCAGAAGTGAACTTTATTGTTCAGAAGTGAACTTTATCGTTCAGAAGTGAACTTTATCGTTCAGAAGTGAACTTTATCGTTCAGAAGTGAACTTTATCGTTCAGAAATTAACTTTATCGTTCAGAAGTGACCTTTATGGTTCAAAAGTGAACATTATTGTTCAGAAGTGAGCTTTATCATTCAGAAGTGAACTTTATCGTTCAGAAGTGAACTTTATCGTTTAGAAGTGAACTTTATCGTTCAGCAGTGAACTTTATCGTTCAGCAGTGAACTTTATTGTTCAGAAGTGAACTTTATTGTTCAGAAGTGAACTTTATCGTTCAGAAGTGAACTTTATTGTTCAGAAGTGAACTTTATCGTTCAGAAGTGAACTTTATCGTTCAGAAGTGAACGTGATCGTTCAGAAGTGAGCTTTATCGTTCAGAAATGAACTTTATCGTTCAGAAGTGAACTTTATCGTTCAGAAGTGAACTTTATTGTTCAGAAGTGAATTTTATCGTTCAGAAGTGAACTCTGTCGTTCAGAAGTGAACTTTATTGTTCAGAAGTGAGCTTTATCGTTCAGAAATTAACTTTATCGTTCAGAAGTGAACTTGATCGTTCAGAAGTGAACTTTATCGTTCAGAAGTGACCTTTATGGTTCAAAAGTGAACATTATTGTTCAGAAGTGAGCTTTATCATTCAGAAGTGAACTTTATCGTTCAGAAGTGAACTTTATCGTTTAGAAGTGAACTTTATCGTTCAGCAGTGAACTTTATCGTTCAGCAGTGAACTTTATCGATCAGAAGTGAACTTTATCGTTCAGCAGTGAACTTTATCGTTCAGAAGTGAACTTTATCGTTCAGAAGTGATCTTTATCGTTCAGAAGTGAACTTTATCGTTCAGAAGTGAACTTTATCGTTCAGAAGTGAACTTTATCGTTCAGCAGTGAACTTTATTGTTCAGAAGTAAATTTCGTCGTTCAGAAGTGAGCTTTATCGTTCAGAAGTGAACTTCATGGTTCAGAAGTGAACTTTATCGTTCAGAAGTGAACTTTATTATTCAGAAGTGAACTTTATCGTTCAGAAGTGAATTTCATCGTTCAGAAGTGAACTATATCGTTCAAAAGTGAACTATATCGTTCAGAAGTGAACTTTATTGTTCAGAAGTGAACTTTATTCTTCAGAAGTGAGCTTTATTGTTCAGAAGTGAACTTTATTCTTCAGAAGTGAACTTTATTGTTCAGAAGTGAATTTTATTGTTCAGAAGTGAACTTTATTGTTCAGAAGTGAACTTTATTGTTCAGAAGTGAACTTTATTGTTCAGAAATGAACTTTATTGTTCAGAAGTGAACTTTATTGTTCAGAAGTGAACTTTATTGTTCAGAAGTTAACTTTATTGTTCAGAAGTGAACTTTATTGTTCAGAAGTTAACTTTATTGTTCAGAAGTGAACTTTATTGTTCAGAAGTGAACTTTATTGTTCAGAAGTGAACTTTATTGTTCAGAAGTGAATTTTATTGTTCAGAAGTGAACTTTATTGTTCAGAAGTGAACTTTATTGTTCAGAAGTGAACTTTATTGTTCAGAAGTGAACTTTATTGTTCAGAAGTGAACTTTATTGTTCAGAAGTGGACTTTATTGTTCAGATGTGAACTTTATTGTTCAGAAGTGAACTTTATTGTTCAGAAGTGAACTTTATTCTTCAGAAGTGAACTTTATTGTTCAGAAGTGAACTTTATTGTTCAGAAGTGAATTTTATTGTTCAGAAGTGAACTTTATTGTTCAGAAGTGAACTTTATTGTTCAGAAGTGAACTTTATTGTTCAGAAGTGAACTTTATTGTTCAGAAGTGAACTTTGTTGCTCAGAAGTGAACTTTATTGTTCAGAAGTGAACTTTATTGTTCAGAAGTGAACTTTATTGTTCAGATGTGAACTTTTTTGTTCAGAAGTGAACTTTATTGTTCAGAAGTGAACTTTATTGTTCAGAAGTGAACTTTATTGTTCAGAAGTGAACTTTATTGTTCAGAAGTGAACTTTATTGTTCAGAAGTGAACTTTATTGTTCAGAAGTGAACTTTATTGTTCAGAAGTGAACTTTATCATTCAGAAGTGAACTTTATTGTTCAGAAGTGAATTTTATCGTTCAGAAGTGAACTTTATTGTTTAGAAGTGAACTTTGTTGTTCAGAAGTGAACTTTATTGTTCAGAAGTGAACTTTATTGTTCAGAAGTGAACTTTATTGTTCAGAAGTAAACTTTATTGTCCAGAAGTGAACTTTATTGTTCAGAAGTGAACTTTATTGTTCAGAAGTGAACTTTATCGCTGAAAAAAAAGTGAAATTTAAAAAGACTTCTATGATTTTTTTTCTGAATTGTTATTGTATAACCGCTGCGAGGTTAATGGTGGGGACCCGGACCTCCAGGTCATTTACACCCCCATAGGTCATTTATACCTCACAGGTCATTTACACCTCACAGGTCGTTTACACCCCAAAGATCATTTACACCTCACAGGTCATTTACATCCTACAGGTCATTTACACCTCACCGGTCATTTACACTTAACAGGTCGTTTACACCCCAAAGGTCATTTGCACACCAAAGGTCATTTACACACCAAAGGTCATTTACACCTCACAGGTCATTTACACCTCACAGGTCATTTACAACCCAAAGGTCATTTACAAACCAAAGGTCATTTACACCTCACAGGTCATTTACATCTCACAGGTCATTTACATCCCAAAGGTCATTTACATCCCAAAGGTCATTTACATCCCAAAGGTCATTTACACCTCACAGGTCATTTACACCTCACAAGTCATTTACACTCCAAAGGTCATTTACACCCCAAAGGTCATTTACACCTCACAGATCATTTACACCCTCACAGGTCATTTTCACCTCATAGGTCATTTACACCCAACAGGTCATTTACACGCCACAGGTCATTTACACTCCACAGGTCATTACATCCGACAGGTCATTTACACTCCACAGGTCTTTGCATCCGACAGGTCATTTACACCCCACAGGTCATTTACACACCACAGGTCATTTGCACCCCACAGGTCATTTACACCGCACAAGTCATTTACACCCCACAATTCATTTGCAACCAACAGGTCATTTACACCCCAAAGGTCATTTACACCTCACAGGTTATTTACACCTCACAGGTCATTTACATCTCACAGGTCATTTACACCTCACCCTTCATTTACACCTCCAGGTCATTTACACCTCACAGGTCATTTACACACCACAGGTTATTCACACCCACAGGTCATTTACACCTCACAGGTCATGTACACCTCACAGGTCATTTACATATCTCAGTGTTGACCTGTAACTACCTTGCCAAGTGTTTTAGCCCAATAAAAATGTTTGAACAGCGTGTTTGTTATTATTATTATTATTAAATATTAGCCGGTATTCTCCCGGCCCGGGCCTTTTCCAAGTGGTGGCCCGGCCTTGGCTCCCTCTTTAGGGAGTGTCTGAGACCTAAGTCTCCCATGGGAGGAGGCACAACCACCTCCTCATCTTTGGGACCAACTGTCCCCAGGCCTAGCCACAAGCTAGGCCTCTCTGGTCTGCCATCCCCACCCCAAGGGGGCAAATGGGAATGACAGTCTTATGAGCTAAAGGCTCGGGCTCAGGCACCTACCCTACCCTAGAAGGGTTAGGCATGGTGTCGATCAGCGTGTTTATGATTATGTATCCTTCAGTATGGTAACCCGGTGAAGGGCTCTTCATCCAGGGAGATGGATTTCTCCCTCCTCTTCTTGCGTAGATGAAAGGTGACTGTCTCACTTTTTCCAGGTGCTATATGAACCTTACAGGTGTGGTGCTTAAACACACACACACACACACACACACACACACAACACACACACACACACACACACACACACACACACACACACACACACACACACAC